ACAAACTATAAAATAACATCATGTTCCAATAATACATATGCACGCGCATGTGCATGGGCCACCTTCCTAGTTAGTCCAGTCAGGTTAGTCTTGTACTTGTCCTTATGACGTGTTTTAGGAAAGCTTCTTTGGTCCAAGCACTGGCATCCATTATTCTCTTGGTGGTGGTGGTTTCCATATACTCCGGTGTCGACAGCCACGGTACGCTCACTCTGCCCTTGGAATAAACTGTCCATGGTGGCCTTCTTCTTGAGTGAGCCAGCTCTTGTTGGTAAGCCCATGGCAAGGTAAGAATCTAGAATAAGATTATGTAGGCTTCAAGTTCCATCATCCCATCCTCAAGTTTCCAGTGCAAGCTCTAGAGGTCAGCGCTAACCATTTCTTCTACTTTCGGCAACATCGTTTGCAAGGTTAAGTCGTCCGCTCTTTAAATCTCTGACAAAATCAAAAGCAAACCCCCAATGACTGGAGGCCTTGCAAATTGAGATATACAAGACTGACGAGCTCAAGGTAATACTCCATTTCTTCCGTGATTGTTGATGCGAACAACACACACTGGCCTGGGAGATCTGCTTAGACCCAGTGTAGGTCCAAAGGTTGATGAGATGCAGGCGTGCCAGTCAGTTTGACTTTGCAACTGACAAGATATACAAATAGCAGATCAATGAGCCGATCGGCTGACAAGCCGATAGATTAATTCCAGCCAATGCCAATACCAGCCGATGCCGATAGGGTGTTGAGCCATCGGCTATAATTCTGATGTAGATTCTGATGCTTGATGTAAATAACAATATAAAGGCAATCGGATGATGATAATGCAAGAAAGCAACAATATAATCCAATAGAAACCAATCGGCTAACAATGATATGATAGAATAAGCACCGATATGAAGGTTAAAGAATACATCGGCTGGAGATCCGATGTCATAAAATCCATAAGATTAGATTAAACAGTAAAATCCTTGTTTCAATCAGCTAAATCCAACTTATATGTACAATCCTTATAAGCCGATGCAATGTCCAGATAACTAATCAGCTGAAACCCTGATGAAACCCTTATTGGCGGTCAAAAAGCAGGCTAGGGATTATGGTTCTAAGCACAAATTAGTGGATTAAACTTAACTGATGTAGCACTAAGTATGAAAAGAAACGTAATATCTAGACAATCAAACCCTTGACTGATTTTTAGGGTGGTAAATGCCTTAGCTAATCTAATATAGTAAAATAATTTAGCCGATACCGACAGAAACCCTAAAGCGAGAGACAACCGATAGAGCTAAATTGAGATACTAAGACTAGATTAACTAAGACATATGATAAATAGGCAGACAAATATATCATCCAAACCGGAGCAATCCAAGAGGTCGAATGTACTGATACGGCCTTGAACGATGCCGACGTAGATGAGACAATTGCCTGGGCCGGCGGAATTTTGGACTTACCCCTTCGTCGGAGATCAAAAGCCGATGCAGTCCCGCGTCAGGTGCCAGGTTCCGCCGTGATAAATAATAAGGGTAAAAGGTGGCAATGTGACGAATTGTATTGATCATGGAGATATATCTTACAATAACCCCGGGTGTATATATTTATACCCATGGGGAGATACTAGTCCTTGTAGGACAAGAAAGAAACTTTCCTAAAGATAAAAGTAAACTAACAAACTATTTCTAATTAATAGATAACTTGCCATGTCGCATCCTTCTTGAACTCGGTTATTTCTGGATGACCTTCCTTTAATAGATTAATTTGCTTAACCAAATATAGCAGGAATTCGACCATTGGTGATGTGATAATTCTCTTAGGGGCTTACCAAATTTCACTGTTAACAGTGATGCTCGCAAGCGTCACCCAAATCAGCTCAGGCCATGGTGGTGCAGGACCCAATTGATTTTTCTCTTATCTTTCTAAGGTCCTTTGTGCATTGTTTGAGCGTATGCTTGTAATATTATATTTCCATGAGCACCCTATTGTAAAACTATTTTTTGTACGACTGTTGCATCATTTCAAGGCCCCAGGCTGAGCAAGAAAAAAGTCCAATCCGCCCTATAACATCGATCATCTCGTGTAACATCGGATATTCAGATTGTTTATGATCTTGTGTTGTATGTTTTGAGCCAATCAATTGGTATCTAGGATTGTTTGTAGGACGTCTCTTTTTAATTACTATTAATAACAATTAAACATATTTCATAGAGAGGGATGTTATGATCATACAAATGCGCAACTTAATAAGCTAGTACTTAAAGAGATAGGAAAGGCTTGCGTATAATCCAACTACATCACGCATGTCCGGCTAGCTGGCTACACACCAGGATAATTTTCAGCCTATATACTTTGAGACGTTTTATAGTTCTTGAGAAGGTACCGCTAGGTATACTATAGGTACCAACTCCATCCGTCCATATAGGATATGATGGGGATAGCGCATGAGTACCCCTCCCTTCCTACACGTGACTTAATTTTCCCGGTTCCTCTTCCATGTTTTCTTCTCTCCTCGCAACGCTCTGCTACCAAATGATTTCGTCTAGTTCGTGGCTTTGCTCCGTCCTGCCAAAGATCAAGCACACCCTCGCCATGGTTGCATTCTACAAGTGGCTGTAATCCAGCCTTGAGGGCTTATGATGTGAAATTGGGACGAATCTACAGGTGGCTGGCCGGAGATTGAGCTAGTGGAATGGAAAGGAAAGAGGAAGAAAAGAAAGTGCAAGTAAAATTGGAAAATAAAGATTGGCATAAAGCTCAAGAAAAGAAAGGGATGTATTGGGATTGGTAAGTCACGCTAGGAAGGCGGTGCCCAGTTCTGTACTCTCGGTGGAGGTGGCGTCCAGCGCTTTGCAGACAGTAGTTGGTGAGAGAGAGGCAAGGATGTCGTCAGATGGTGATCGAGTTCCTTCCGTCGATAGGGGGGCGGCAAGGGGCAGCCAGATCCAATTTGACATAAATCGGTAGGGAGGAGGCACGGTGAGATCCAACTTCGATATGGGGGTTGACAACGAACATGATGAGTGTCGACGGGGGATACCCATAGACCGGATATAGAGGGTATTGGGGTACGTTGGAACGAGGATCTACGTAATACGACATCAAGCAAACAAAAGACAAGGATTATACTGGTTCAGGCCCCTTGGTATGTAATAGCCCTAAGCCAGTTGGTATGGGATTATATGATGGAAACCACAAATTACAAAGGGGATGGTGGAACTCCATGATGCCGACGAGACCATAGTCGAGTTGGTTTGACTAGATCACCCAGCGATTTGGCTCCTGTTGGCTCTGACTTCGTAAGCTGTGGTGGATGTGTTAGCGGTGAGATTCGATGCCTTAGGTCCTGCCCAGGGGGTCCCTTTTATACCGCGGGTCAGTTGATCTCCAAGTGGGACTCGGAGATATCGGACTCCTCACGATATGGTAAAGACCCAGCCTTGTCCAAGTAGGACTCCTTCCATCTGTGATTCCGTTTCTATCACGTGATAGATTTCCTTAACGTACACAGGAACTTATTCGTATACATGCGGGTATACCATATCAGTATGCAACGTATATCCAAGGATAGAGGGTATACCTTATCCGTAACCCTGACAGTAGCCCCCGACTTCTGCTTAAATGAACTCATGTAACCGATCGCGACTTTAGATGTCGGAGTCGTTGTCGCTCTCATCTGGTCGATCTCGGTGTGAGAACCGTAGAAACAAAGAGTTATCGACAACACCGTACGAAGTTCAACGGTCATGAGTGAATTTAAATTCAAGTCCGAAAACTACTGCACGTAACGGACCCAGAATTTTCCGCGGCAATCTCTCTCCTTTCCTTGGAATACGCACCATCGGTAGTGCGTTTATTTAAAGGGATTTTGGGGATCCATTTTGAATTCCATTTGCCAAAGAACTCTCCAGTCTTCAAGCGCCCTTCATCCTCTCCGCTCCCGCAGAGAAAACCCTAGCTTGCCTCTTTCGCTTTACTCTCCAGCAATCCTCCGGCGGCGATGGATCTCGACAAGTCCACCTACACCACCGCGCCCTGAAGAAGTTGCAGGATGACGGCGCCCTCCCTGGTCACGGGACAATGCAGAGGGAGATAGGAGGTATTGAACCCGAACCCATCTTAGGCCGTATGGTCGCGGTCGAAGATTATATTTCTTGCGGTTTTCTTCCTCAACCTTCCGAATTTCTTATTCTTGTCTTGAACTTCTATGGCCTTTCTTTGCTTCACCTGAACCCCAATTCCATCGCATTCCTTAGCATTTTCTCCTATCTTTGCGAGGCCTACATTGGGGTAGAGCCATTCCTTGATCTCTTCCGTTTTTACTACGATTTGCGCTGGATGGAATCCAACAGGGTATCTGGATGCGTCGGATTCCGACTTCGGGATGGCCTGAAGTCGCATTACATCCCCTTCCAGTGCCCCTCTTCTCGCAGCAATTGGCGGGTGAGATGGTTCTAACTCTTCCATTCCAATGTTGTATGAATTTCAATGTGTGCAAGCCACATGACCAGCTGTTGCAAGCATGTCCTTTGTTAGTGGTAATTCCTTATAAATAATTTGCGACAAAAAAATATATGTTTTTTACCTGTCACTTTGCTGAGGGACTTTCATTGGGCATAATGGCCAATTGATAATCTTGGTTTTCTTCCATTTGTTTTCAGCGCCATCTTCTATCCTGGCATACTGGACAAACTTTTCAATTCCTTTGATCTGAGTTATCGAATGGAGTATTACATATACAACGTAGCAAGTTAGTAAGGAATAGTGATGAATCTAAAGGCACAATGTAGCATACTGTATTGTTGAGGTCTTTATCTTTGTCGTTGTAGCTCTTGTCCATGCGCATTGAGTCTAGTATTTGAATTTTTTCTTTAGCACCATTGAGAACAGCCACATACCAATGAGTTGAGTTTCCTCTGTCCAACAATACAACTTCGCACACATGGAAATTAAGCATTAAAATTATGATCAAACTCCAGATTCAACTTCCACCAGTGCAAAGAAACACCCCATACTTCTCATACATCTTCTTCTACTTTGCTGAAAATAAAATCACAGATCAAATTAGTGCTATATACAGAGAGTTTACATAAATTGACATATTCAAAAAAAATCATATTATATTTCACCTTACGAAAATTGGACAGGTTCGAACAGTGTGCCCATGACCACGACAATAACCACAACGCCTAGCGCGCTTCTCCATGAATCCTCGTAATCTTTTTGTTGGAGCTCCTTTAGGCACAATTTCCATAGGATCATGGACCATATTACGACTCTCAATGTCTGTACGTAAACTTTGCGCTAGCACATGACCACATAAAGACAAATCTGAGTTGTTTGTCTCACATTCATCAGTTTCTAAGTCCAATTTTTCTAGCATCTCCATCACCATTAAAGTAGTTTCCTTAGAAACCGAGCACTTGAAAAACACTTCCGTGCCCATGCTACGCAACCTACGATATCTCTCCATCTGGTCTAACCATGTATATACTTCGCCATACCTATCAGAAGGAAACATGTGTTTCGCTTTAATTGTCCACCTACGCACTATGCATGCTTCAGGAATGGCATCAAGCTTCAAATGATGCATAATTACAACCATATGCTCACATGGGAGGCATTCACGATCCATTTTTCTGCATGGGCAATTTAGGCTCTTCATTGTTGATTCCACATATGTACAATTCAAGAATTTTACCATCTTAGAATCACCTTTCATGGAAATAACATACTTAACCAAGTTGTCCTCTTCTATACAATCTATCACCTCCCAATCCATCGACTTAACAACAACCAACTTCAACTTCTTGAAAACTGCAGGTGTAAATATACGGGCAACATCTTTCTCAATAAGACTAGCATTATTAGAAGTGAATGGGATTGATTTTGAAGCTTTACAATCTAGCTCAGCCTTCCAATACCTCATATGATAAGCAATGCTCATAATGCTCTACCAAAAGGACAAGGCTCATTTTACGATCCAAATACCTATGAAGTTTAGAATTCAGACTTTCACTGCGTTGGTTGCTTTTCATCCCAAGAAAAAACAAACCTTTAGTGTACACAGTAACCCATTTCTTTCTCAAATTGTACATCCTCACAAGCCATTGGTTATCTTCACAACCTTTATGCTTCACCTTAAACTCGACCCACTTTCTGTCAAATTCTTCATGATTATATGGTGCGTGGAGAAGTGCTCGAAAATCTAAAAGCATATCAGGACGAAGATGTCTTGCCATGTTCTGCTCAATGTGCCAAGTGCACAACCGATGCTCAGAATCCGGCATCACAGCTGCTATTGCTCTACGCATGGCATTGTCCCCATCTGTGATCAATCCACCAGGATGCTTCTGATACATGCAATCTAGAAACTGCTTAAATCCATTCATAAGTTGCAACCTTCTCATCAGCTACGATAGCACATCCAAAAATAACAGTGGAACCATGGTGGTTCACACCAACAAATAGGATAAAAGGTAAGTTATACCTATTCACCCGTTATATGCTATCAAAAACAACAACATCCCCAAATGCATCATAATTGATACGGGATTGAGGGTCCGACCAAAATAACCGTTTCAAACGACCAGCTTCATCCGTCTCATACTCAAAAAAGAACTCCATGTCATCTTTTTGCCTTGATTGAAAATACTTTATAACACGCTCTACATCACCACCTAAAATATGTTTCTTCCTTAGCCTAGTAAAATAATTGTACAGGTCCCTACTAACAAAATCTGTAGCATCAAAACCACCATGATGCCTCTCCATGACATCCATAACTTGATGCTGACGCAAACCCACTTCTTTCAATTCCAAAATATTAGCCTTTTGAGCATTGCTAATTGTGCGATGTGACCGTAAGAAAGCTACTTCATCTGATTTAGCCAACGGATGATTATGCCTTGCTACATAATTCACAACAAACCAATCACCTTTCTTCTTGTCAAGTTTAATCTCAAAACGTGCATTGCAACCACATCTAGTAAGAGCTTCTGGTTCTCTACTTCGGTTAGCCATATCCATATACACTTCTTTCCTATGTCCTTCTCTAGAGCATTGGTACTGCCTATGGGTTACCGCAGCAGTAACAGGATCACGTCTAGCGTAATTCTTCCTTACACTAAACCCTTTTTCTTTGGCATACCTGTTGTAGAAGAGGAAACCTTATTTCTCTGTATTTCTGTGTCTTAAATCTCATAGCAGTCATTCTTCTGTACTACTCTTGTTCTTCTAGGCTTATAAAATTGTCTCCCATTTCATCACCCATACAAATTCTGTAAAAAGAAAACACATAATACTCAGAAATCATCTAAAATCAACAAACAAACTGCTACCTATCTCTTGGTTCTAACAAAAAAAATTAGACCGCAAGAAAATCACATACCTGGGAGGAAACCCTAAACCGGTAGGGGGCATATGCTGCTTGAGCTGTCCTGGGGGGATAGGGGCAAAAAATACCCATGGCACCGTCGCTCCTTGCGCAGATGGATGGGCACTGGATGCGGGGATTGAGATAAGAAATCAGCAACGGCGGGGGCGTGAATGAAGCCACTGGTGAAGGAGCTCACTGGTGGTTCTGCCGTCGCGGACGGCAGATGCAGGGCGAGCGAGCAAGCGTACAAGCGGGGGCATGGATGCGGGGCGAGCGTGCACGCAGGTCAGGGGCGGGGCTGCGCTCGGAGGGAGGAAAAAAAGGAGATTAGAAGAGAAAGCGGCGCCGCGCGGAGGGAGGAAACAGAGAAAGAGCGAAAAGAAGAAAGCAGGGGCACGACTCCTTTCTCTGTTTCCAATCGTACCCTTCACAGATGAATTTATCTCTGTACCTCCCGGTACTAGTACCTGCCGGTACAAGTTGCTGGATGGGAGCAACGCTCTTGTTAATATGATACTGCGAGAATCTGGTGTTGTACTGGTTAGGTTTCCTAAACATCTGTATGTACATCTAAGATGGAATTAATCTTAGATCGATAAACATATATATATATATATATATATATATATATATATATATATATATATATACATATATATATATATATACATATATATATACATATACATACATATATATATATATATATATACATATATATATATATATACACGTACTAAGATCTCCTGTAGTGGCCGACACATATACACCTATGTTGATGACACGCACGCTGCAGGCTGCAGCGCCTATATGTACATTACATCCGTTCATATGTTTGGGAATAATTAACAAGGTATTCTTGCAAGAAGGGAAGTACCAAATCTGTATTGGATTTCTGAGCATACTCCATGGATAAAAAAAGACAGAGTATAGCTCTATAGTTAGTAACAAAATCGATCAAGAGTGGCCTCGATGGACCAATCACTGGTGGAGAAACCCTTTGTAGTCCCGGTTCGTAACCCCCCTTTAGTCCCGGTTTCTAAACCGGGACTACCAATCCGGGACTAAAGATCGCTATCTTTAGTCCCGGGTGAAATAACCGGCACTAAAGATCGAGCTGACCATTTTTTTTTTGCATGGCCCTGTTGCTGCATGGTTTTATATATATATATATATATATATAAACCATGCATATATATGTTTCAATACATATATATGTTACGCAAATGCATATGTGTATATATATATATATGATCAAAATATATTTACATTATAGAAAATGTGTACACATGCATATAGAAACATATGTAGTCATGTATTAATTACAATCCATTATATGTCCTAGCTAGCTACGATTTCGACGTAGTAGTAGTCGCTAGCTCAGAAGCTAAGGACCTATGAATTGTGTTTCCGTCGTAGTAGAATTCACCCTTGGGATCAAGGATTTGTTCGTTGATGAATCCCATGAGTTGTTCTTGAACCGCCGCGATAAATTCCTTGTGTGTGGTCAGGTTATCCCTCATGTGAATAAACTATATGAATGTATGAAATTGATTAGTAATTAAACAAGAAATCGATACGTAATGAAATTTTGAATTTATTTGTACATACATCGAGCTCTCTTGTGGTGATGATTTGGTCTACAAGGCAGTGGCAATACTCGCACACGTAATAGCCGCACAAGTTAGTTCCCCGCTTTTGCTTTGCGCACTACAAATAAATGACAAATGACGAGAGATCTAATTAATATACACTTGTATGTATTTGAATCGGAGAAATATAAATGTAGAGCATGTGTACTCACAGGAAATTTGAACTTCCGCCTAACTCTTTCTCTCCATTTGCCGCGGACCAAATGACGGAACCGATACCAAGCCCTACATGGAGTTTAAAGCTATGATTCGTAGTAGCAATTAACATAACAAGATTATTTTCTTAATTAACAGAGGAACTTATGACAGTACCTGTCTATAAGTTCGAAAACCTTGTCAAACGTAGACTCTTTTTTATCCATTGAGTCATATACGTTGACAGTGCAGGTCGACAGGTCGAAGAGTAAAGGCATCTAGTGGAATTTGCAATGTGCGTGGGATGCATTACATATGAAACACTTAGCAAGTTCGTACGGGAATGAAATTTGGTATAGGAAGACAATAAAATTAAACTAACTCTGTGTTGTACGGCAACAGTATGAACGTCTTGTAATGCTGCGCCTTCAGGAGATGGACGAGATTGTCCTCTGTGGCTTACGGATATTGGTCAAGCATTGCGACGTTTACTTTCCGAGGGTCGATGAATCCAGTATCGAAAACCCCCCGCCATCGGGCCCTTTGAATCTCCATTCTACAACGATAAAAGGGAGTATATTATTTTCTATAGTCTACTTATATACAAGGATCTAATTAATTAAAGGAGACGTAGTAAGAAATCTAACTGAACGATATACTTACAAAATCCAGCAACTCATAATAGAGACGTCGAGGGCGTCCAACTGGTATATTTCGTAGATTCCCTTGAAATTGATCCAGAGAATGTCATCTCCTTGCAAGAAGTCTATATCCTTGATCCTCGCTCCGATCATCTCTCTACCGGTGGCGCTCATCTCCATGTACAGCTGATGGAACTTGTACATTTATGTGGGTAGGGACTGCAGCAGCTCAGGCTTGACAAGCGGTTTACTGAGTTCGTACATGTATTTCACTTCTGCCTTTTCGATTGGTGCGACTCCTAGCAATTGATCCGTAGTTAGACCGGTGTCAGTAATAAATTCTTCTATCGTCATTTCTTTACCGGTCACCAATGGCTCGATCTCCTGGTTTGGTTGCTCTCCAAGCTGAGGGACTGGTTTGGACTTTCCAGAAGATGCTTTCTTCAGCGTTCGCTCATAGTCCGATAGCTTAATGGCCTCCTTGGCAGGTGAAGACATACCCCTGAAGAAGTTCATGACACTCGGGTCTATAGGAATCTTCTTTTCTGGACTTCGAGGCTTGAATTGTCTCTTGACTTCTGATGCCACGTAAGCGTCAAGCTACTCTTGCATGCAATCGTACCCCGGGTCCTTGTTCTTGGCGGTGTCAACTTTCACCTTCTTCGTTGCCCTTGTGTGGGCAGGCGGTGGAGCTTGGGGGGCCCTTGACTTTGAAGGTGCCGGAAGAGGAGCTTGAGGAGGAGTCGGTGCAGGAGCCTGAGGAAGAGTCGGTGCAGGAGCCTGAGGTGGAGACGGTGCTGGAGCATGAGGAGGAGACGATGCAGGATCCTGAGGAGGAGATGGCAGAGCCGGAGGAGATGGTGCACGAGACGCCACTTGTCGCCCAGGGAGGATGATGTACCGCCTGCGCCATAGAATAATGGCATGGCTTGTGTCTCGTAGATGCGTCTCACCGTCTCTTCCAGGGTAATCCAGCTCGAGGTCCTCGTACGCGCCTTCGACCAACTCAACTTCGACCTTGGAGTATCCTGCTGGAATCGGCCTGCAGTGGTAAGTACCTGAAGGGTCCGTTGGGATGGCCATGCCCGACGCCACCTTCATGTGGTGAGAGGTTATTTATTAGTAATCAACATATATAAGCAGCAACTAACGGAATGGCCAAATCTAAAATATATAAACTACGAGCTTACCTTTATTGATAAGTTCTTGAAAGGAATATGCAGCTCACATGGTGTCCGCTGAGTGATGTCATCAACGGGGCAGGTGGATTCGTCCTGGGTTTGCATAGCGTCCATGCTCTGTGATCCTACCTGCCCCGTTGAGGCGCAGCTGCTACGGTTTCCTGACGGGCTCACCATTGTAGGAGGAATGGTCGGCTGGGGATCATGGGACCGATGTGCGGCCATGCGTTCATCAACCTTCCTTGCCACCTCCTCTTGCATGCTGCGCTCGTAGCTTGATACCATGAACTCTAGATCTGCAATCTTCGCCTCGGTATCTCTCTTGCGCCTCATCCGACTCCTGTACGTGTGGATGTCCTCCTAGAACCCAATTTCCATGGAATCACCCCTTTCCCTCGTGTTCGTCCTGGATGCTCTGGAGTCTGCAGAGCGAGTGACAGCTCGTCCCTCTCTCTGTCCAGTCGGAACGTGCCCTGAGAAGAGGCTTCCACTGCGTCTGTTAGTCAACGCGCAGCCTCTCGTATCTGATCGCCGAAGACTAGTGAGCCATCAGCTGGGTTGAGCGTTCCACCCTGAGCATAGTACCAGAACTTCGATCGTTCCGGCCAATTAGCGGTGGCCGGTTCGATACCCCTCTCAAGCAAGCTAGCCTCCATCTCCTCCCACTTCGGCATCGCGACGCTATAGCCGCCTGACCCCAAGTGGTGATGGTACTTCTTCTTGGCGGCATTTTCTTTGTTTCTTTCCATCATCGCCTGCCCTTGTTCACCTGTCTTATATGCAACGAACTCGTCCCAGTGATCCCTTAGCTTTGGGAATGTGTCGAAGTTCGGTGTCTGGCCCTTCAGGATATATTTCTGGTACAGATCTCCCTTGAAGCTCTGAAACTGTTCTGCCATTTTCTTCAGAGTCCACCTTTTCACTTTGTCCTCTGTACCAGCGGGAAGGGTTAATGTCTCGAGCATTGTGGTCCACAGCATCTCTTTCTCCGAATCTGGGACAAAGCTCTCATGATCTCCGCGTGCCCTTGTTCTTC